ATATGGACTAGTAGGTCACAATCATGGGGATGGCTTGCCTGGCATGCGAGGCTGTCCCTTCTACTACTTATATACTACAGAGACAGGTACAGAATAAATATAAATAGATTCTTTAGGGGTAATATTGGTAAGAATATCTTGGCTAGTCACAAATTATGGTGAATAATCATGCAATAGTCAGCCTAGCCTGTTCTTTCTATCAGATAGCGGATCGAGGGACTCCGCTATTGGGTCGTTTCCGCACCCTTTGCCCAGTGGTGCTCCACTAGTGACACGGCTATACAAATAGTCAGGTAACCATGCCTGTAGCAACTGCTCGATCGTGATTGGGGCGCAGCCTGGCTATACTAGTGCCGATTGTATGAGATCTGTATCACACTAGCCAGATCTGGGCTAAGGGTTATGCCTTTACTGGTTCATTTCTAAGTCCTTTCAGAAGTGCTCGCATGACTAGTCATCCTGACTTAGGTGTTCATGCCCAGATCGGTCCACTAGCGACTGAATAGTCAAGATCTGTGTGGGTTCTTACTTCTTGTTTGGGTGCTAGCAGCTGTATTCTTTACTAGTGACCATATTTTACTAAGTCATACTAGCTTTGGAGGTGCTAGTCCGGTCGGCTGGTAGGGCTGACCCACTAGTGGTATCATTCCTAAGTCCTGACTCAACTAGTAGCATGCTAACTTAACTATCAGTCTGAAGTCTCAACTATAGCCCTTGATATACGACTAGTATAGGATAGACCTACAACAGTATTGTTATAAAATCGCAAAATCTAGGTGTGAATGTGTAGACAGCGTATCAGCGTCTCTAGTGATCACCAGATGTTTATCTAATGATGCAGGAAGGAGAATTGATTCCAACCACTTTATTCATTGAATTATTACCTCATACAATGCAGACACTATCAAATCCTTTCTTGACCAGCTTGACTTTTGTAAAGAATACCCAGATCTTAGGCACAAACTATATTGTGGCTTTCCAATGGGGGATTTTCTCACTCTCCCTTGATCTATCATTTTTCCAAACTACATCTCTAACCCTACTCACATTGCTTTTATTGATCAATACTTTGAGGAAGAGATGGCCAGCAGGAGAATGAGCAGTTCATTCTTGTAGAAGAGAGTCTTGGCTCTTTCCAATGCTCTCCATACTCAGTGAATATTCAGGAGCAAGGATCAGATAAACCTTTCAAGCTCAGAGTAGTTCACAATCTTTTCAAAGAGACCAAGCTCACCCTATCAACCAATGATTATATCAACTTCCACAAACTTTCCAACTAAATTTGGTTCAGCAGCAGATGTTACAAAAATTGTGAATACTCTTCTTTTCTTGATATATCCAATCTGCAAAGGATGAGATCCCTCCATTCTTTTTCATCTGCTCCCACCCATACCTACTCAGTTAGACTGATTCTTTATCTTGTATTGATTAAGTTAATATTTACTATGACCAGTGATCCTTCTGAACAGGTCTTGATCTAAAACCAGTTCCCTCATGTTGATCATACTCTATTTTATCAGCCTATCTCTGATGTATAATCCTGGTGCTAATACCTTGCTCTCTCCAGATCTCTGAAGCTCCACTTGGCACACAAGCAATGACTCTTGATATTGCAAAATTCCACCATGTATGCTCTATTCTACCTGATCATAAGCTGTATTTTGTGGTCCAGGGTTTCAAGGGTTTCTTCATTGAACACACTTGTCCATTTGACTGCTCATCTTCAGAGAGCAATGCAGGATCAATTGCAAATGTAGTAATAGATATCTGGCAGATGTTAGGCATTTCACCATCTGTCAAATAGGTAGATGACCTTGATATTTTCAGAATACCCTCCTTCATAGATTTGGATGGCTTCTTTTTATAAGTATACAATATGTAGAGTGCAAAAGATTTTATTGCTCTAATCAATGTAACCAACATACTATGGCATAAAGAAAAGTGGTCTGATTTTGATTTTGCTTTTATATTGGCTTCTACTGGGCAATGACCTTCATTGGTGGGAGGAGGCCCTATTCTCTCCAGATATCTCACATTTGCTAAAGCCTTATAGCCCCTCCATCTTGAGATCTTTGTGGATGCATCAACTGACTGGGGAATTGGAATCATTGTAAATGGTTTCTGAGATGCCTAGTGTCTCATACCAGGCTGAAAAGACCAAGGCCACCAAGACTATAATATTGGCTGGCTTGAAGCCCTTGCAGTAGAGTTGGTGATCTACACTTTGGAGGAGCAGGGCATTCACAATGTTTCTATCACAGTCTACTCCAACAACCAAAGTATCATTGAATCCTTCAACAAGGGTTGCAGCCACAGTGTATCAATGAACTCAGCTATCCAGAGATCCCATACCATCCTCACAGACAAGAACATCCATTTATCTCTCACCTATGTGGCTTCAGCCATGAATCCAGCAGACCCTATCTTGTATGGAGATCTGGGTCCAGCAGTGTTCAGGCTAGCTTTCAGTTTTTTGCTCTCAAGAGAGCTTACCTCATTTATCATTCATGTATAGGTAATACCCTCAATCACTTTTGCTCCTGATATTGTGCTGATAGATTCACAGATTTGCTTCTTCAAAAACAGCATCAGCATGTCCTGTTGCATCTGATAGTAGAGAACCATTCCAACTGTCACAGCTCACATCTTTTTTAGTGACACCTTCAGAAGTTCCACTATGCCTACCCATCAGCAAATCAAAACTGTGCAAGCCAAAGGAGGGTTGCACTATAGACAACAATGCTTTTTGTCTGTAACCCAGATGCCAGTTGTATTGGTTATTCCTGATGTGACATAGATATGAGGAATTGCCACATCATATCTCTTTAGTTTATCACCACCACCTGTACTGTCATCTCATGAATACTGAGCTTGTTTCTTGCATGTCTATATGAACCAAATTCTCCAGTGTAGCTCCATAGCTATAAGCTTCCATCTTTTTTTGCAATCCAACCTGCTCTCTTTCTTTTGCTTTCATTTCCACACTGGATCCTGCCATGTTATCATGCTGTTTCACATGTCATACTATGCAGCAGTATCATCTACCCATCTTTGGAGCCTTGGATGATCCAGGCTCATGTCAACAACCTGACAAACACACTACAGACCCCTATCTATCCCTCATTCTCAACTATTTGTCATCACTGCTAACCAAACTTGATTTTTCTTGCTCACTTAGCTCTCAACTAATGTCTACTCAGTAAAGTATGCACCTGGGACAGACTTTCAGTCTTTTGTATTGGACCTCTAAACTGCACAGAATGCTCTCACATATGCTGGCACTAGCTACACCATCACTGACTCTTCAATCAAAAATCATCTGTTATTCTTCATGCATTCCATTTTATCCCTTTGCATTCACAGTACTATGGGTTTTGCATCAGCCTATAGAATCATAAAGCTTGATGCCTTGATCAATCTGATGTCTATAACCTGAGTGAGTTTAATTGTGGAGAACATCATTCAAATCAATAATGATGTTCTCATCTTTCTGTGACAATAATAATCAAACACATTATATCTTACAATATCTGAACTTTGTTGCTCTGCTCCAGTTCTATGACCATGGCTTTGTCAAGCATTATCATGGTCAGATGTTGAAGAAATATTTGAAGCAAGCTCACAAACAGTTTACTCTTCCTCACCATCAGTTCTCAAGCTGGCTGAACCCAGAGGGGATCAGCACCAGCTATAATGTAGAATATGATTTTAATGCAGATACTGCTAGTGTTCTGACAATTCATAGTTGAAGGTGTATGCTGTTTCACTGACTAGTAGTATCATGGTGATAGTTTTTCGTATACTTCATATATCTGCAACTTCATATTTCTCTGCATGTCTCAACAATTAATATTAATATTAAGCCTCATTTATAATGCATATGGCAATGTTCAGAATATTTGATAAATATGATAATCTTTCTTCCATATGATCTATAACAGCTATATGGAATTTATACTTGCCAGACTATTGCATAGATTTGTGAGATTACTAATGTGTAAGAATGTTCATCATCTTCGAATGCCTGCCAGAGAGGGAGCATGTTAGTATAGTTATCCTGTTTCTCAGTTTTTTTTTAAAAGAAGCCACTCTGATGAAGTGCCAGAAACATGCCTCATCCCCAAAGTATCAAATCAAAGTTTGCTATACTGTAAAAGAGAGATTTGAAGCTATGCACAGACAACAAGAGTGAATTCTAAACAGAAGCATCTATCCCTCTTTTTTTCATATATATATAACATATTATAAACTTTATTGCTTGATTCACTATTCTTGTTCTCTCTTTCTCTCAGTATTATATGGATATAAATACAATCAACAATATCACAAATGCTTTGCATTATTCTAATGTATCGACACTCACACAGAGTTATGATAGTGTTTAATAACTTCCTCATTGAGGAAAACATCATCCAACTGGACACTAATATATTTTCTCTGCAGAAGCTTGACCCAAATATTAACTACTACATTATAGGATTTATTATGAAAAAGTATATCTGAGCATTTCTTCAGTACTATGTCTATAACAAGGTGTGATGATATCAATATGCATAGCACAAGCAAAGAGCCTGACAATGTATAGAGAAGCTACTCACATGCTCAAAGCTCAGAGCAAGCCCTATCTATAGCTTCTGTAAGACTGATTGTCAAGGTAAGGTACTTTGGAACAGAGCAGCAGCACTTGGGAACTCATTGATGTCTGATCTCATATCCTCATATATGTTGGATCTTCACAAACATAAGGTATGCTGTGAAACTTGTCAGTAATATATGTAGGCTGATGAGAAACACAGGTGATCAAAGGTGAAACTTCAACTAGTGCTTAAGCCATTGGTCCTGTATGTCTCTATTTCTGTTATCAAAAACTCATTACATCTCTTACTTTCTAGGATATTCTAAAGCAGCTCTATATACATAATTACAAGCATGAAAACTGGAATAACAATCATCTGTCCCAGGAAAACTGGTGCAGAGAAAATAAGTGGTGATTGCTCTAGGCTGTCTATCTCATAGCATTTATATGCTTACTCCACATTGATGAGATGTTGAACATCCAAGCCCATAAGATTGATGTCTACAATAATGTAGTTGATAACACTGTCTGTGCTTCGATCACCCTTTCTTTTCATAAAAATACACCATTTGACAGTAAGTGCATTGAGCTACTACAGTGCTATTGCCTGCTGACTTGTTTTGAATAACAGACATATCTCTGTTTGTATTATGAGAGCTGCCAGAACATATAGCACATCTCTGCCCTGTTTAAGCTCTCACCACATGGATTGACACCTCAGATATCAATGAAGGGAATCTTTTTCCCAACATTAATAAATGTGACTGTCCCATCACTATCAAGAACACTACAATGGTAAGTTATGAGTTCCATATGCTATATGCAAGTAGCTCATACTCATTCAGAACTTGTTAGAAACCAGAGATCTTCTTATAGCTCTTTTAGAATAACCTGTAGGACTTAGGTATCACACCATACCATTATAGTACACATTCTTTTTTCCATGGTGGATGTCAGTGGTTCTCATGCAATCTTTGTTGATCAATTCAACAAATCTGTGAGTGGAGTGGTTGGAGCTTAGACTTTTCACACATGACAATACTCAAGTATCTGATTTCATCAAACAACACTTCAACTCTTTGTCATGATGAGTTTTTCAAGCTTGACTGCTAAGTAGTCAAGTGCTGAACCTGTGGACAAATATATTCATGTGCTTAATTTTGATTATATAGTTATCTCATTATAATATAAACAAAAAAAACATTGTAATATTTTTCAAAACTATGACATGAACTGCAAACTAAACATTCTTATTGCAACTGATCCTCATCTTCTTTCTATAGTGTCAGACAATTGTTAGATTATCCCATATGGCAACCTGTGTTCTACCTCTTTTATAATCAAAGTGATTGATAAAGTCATCACCATACTCAGCCATCACTTGTTCTGCCAATTTGAGATTTGTAGCTGTTTATTGCTCTAAAAGAATTTTTTTGATTCAAGAGAATTTCAGCATCTGTCCTTGAGAGTGGGAAAACTCAGCTCAAAAGGCTTTAGGTGTCTCAAATGCCTAATATGCTTCAATAAAATACTGAAGGCAAAAGGTGAGAGTATGAACAACAGAAACAAAAGTGAATGTATCTTCCAATCCAACCAGTCACTCTTAAGTTTTTCCTACTCATTCTCTGTTTTCTGCTTGTAGGTGTCTTTGCTAATCAACAGATGAGGGCCAGTCTGGATTACAATTGTCCCAGCACCAAATGAGATTTTTAAGATTTGATACATAGTAAAATAGTTTAGTGGGTAGAATGTCACCCTGATGAACAGTTATGGTCTAGCCATCAGTAAAGATCAATGAGTACTGAATTGGGTTGACAGCAATATCATCAGATGATACTGGAGCATTTCTATTGAGTTTAGACATTGGCAGAGCAGGTGTAGAGAGCAGTACAGATGGTGAAGTCATCTGCATGGGCTCAAAGGATGGTATAATCAGTGAGTCTGGTTGGTCCACGATACCAGAGAAGACTCCAGTCAGACTTGCAGTGAGCCTCATACCGGTTAAGTTGAAATCCATGGAGGGACAGAGGGTTTCAAGTGATACAGTTAAAGACAAGGATAAGGAGGAGCAGTTTTGATGAGCAGCCAACTGCTCCTTGACAATAGAGGCAATACACTAGACAAAGTCAGAGCTCATAAAAAGATTCTATGCATTAGAGATGGCTGTTAGATCAAATTGATAGTGAAATTAATGACATATATTACACTAGGCTTTTACATGCTATGATTGTGGACACTGTTGACCCCAGACTCTGGGATATATGTATGGCAGAGATTCTCTGTATGTTCTTCTTCTTCCATTATCTTGATCATAAGATCTTTAGCCTGAAAATACAATCATTGAACTAAGTATAAACAGGAACAACAACAGACTCACCTAAGATATAAAGGCATATGAAGGCATCCACCTTAGCCTGGCTATGATTATCCTTGAATCTTGATATAGGGAAGAGTACCCTTTGAGGGTTGCTCACTGGTATGCTGATCTCATAGATGCAATTTGCTTAACACATCAGCTTCCTCTTCATAATAGCATCATCCCTTACTATCCTCACTCCTTTGTAAAGAATACACATCAGAGTGAGAAATCCATAAGAGGTGAGAGAGGTGAGCTTGCATCTGTGTGTGGGCATGTATAAATGTACTTTGCCTTCCACTTTTTTATTCTGGCTTGGCTGAACTTCACAAGCTGCTTGTATCACATTGTTTTGTTGTCTGAATGTGCACATCCAAAATGCTGATAAAGTTCTATAAATTAGGAGTTCTTGTATGTAATTGAAGATCTGGAGAATGGCATCAGTCAAAGCAAGACCAGCAAACAGGAACAACATACAGGTCAATTTCCTCTGTTTGAAAATTGTCATTCTCATCAAGCTAATTTTTATTAGGGCCATCTTGACAAGAGCAAGGGAAGATATATTGCTGAGGCTGCTCTAGCAGCAGGACATCTGGAGGCAGTGGAAAAGAATCCATGATGAGTCTAAGTGTGTTAGTGGACATGAGTCACTGCTGTTAAATAAGTCATCTTCTCTTGATGATGAAGAAAGCGAAAATGAGGATGCTGACAAAGAACCCTGTAAGATAAGCAGCAAGATGAAGGCTATGGTGTGGAGAGAGACACACACACATACACATAATCAGGAAGGAAAAAGAAGGAGAAAGGGAAAGGGAAAATGAGAAGAATACAATATTCCCAAATCTAAAATGAGCAAGCAAGTAAGTAAAAATCAAGTGTGCATTAAGTGAGTGAACAAAAGTAGCATTCCCTAACAAAAGACATTACACCACAGTCATGAACTCTCACACAATCCATCAAAGAAGGACATCAAATGAGCATAGCAACACATTCATGTCAACCATGATGGAATCCATCCCACCCACACACATGAACACAACTAATAGATAGAACAAAATCTCATTGATGAAAGATGTCAAATGGAATGAACAACACATTTGTGTCAACCCATGCACAGAGGAAAAGAGAAGGGCTAAGAGCGATACACTCCCATGGAGATAGTAAGGGAGAGAGTCAAACAACAGCTATTATTTTATGTTTCTCATATCTTCAGCATTTATTAATCATTTTCTTTGATTATTAAAGTGTTTGATAGCCCTTTCCAAGACCTTTCAGATGGTTCTAGACATAATTCCCTTCTCCTAATTCTCACATTGTAATCATCATTATTGTTACTTTACTTTTGCACATACTATTATAACCTGCATCCAGATCATTGGAGACCTGGATTCAGGTTCAGGTTGAAGATGTAACTGTTTAAACTATAAGACCTGCTGAAATAAATATGAGTGTATCTAAGAAACTGTGTGATGCTTTAGTTTCAGCAGATAGAAGATGGTGAGGCTTAGGGATAAGTACTAAGGTTAAGGCCTGAAGAGAGAAGAGAGAATGGTAGGACCTATTGCTTTGTGTGTACTATCAGGAGTACTTGCCCTCTGACACTCCTAATCAGTGGTCTTCTCATCTCAGCATAAGACTAGCACATGCAAAAGTATTCTATCCTCATTCTATCTGCTTTTGCAAGCATAAATTTGCACCTGGTGATAAGCCTCTAGACTCTATGTGTTTTGAAATCATGGAAAGAATTTACAATTTATTGACTCTATCTCTTTAGCAGACTTTCCTAATTCAATTGTAAGATGCAAGTTGAATCATGTTAATTAGTGGCCAGCACACAAAGTGATTAATTCATATGTGAATGTCATAGACACTAGTCTCATTGATCCTTTTCTTCTCCCCACAGACTTTGTACCTCACAGTCTAGGCTCAGCACTGCCAGTTACAAATTATTCATGCACACTTTCTAAAACATGTTGTATAGTTAAAACTATGGCAAGTCAGCTGTAGCAATATAAGAATGCACATGCCAATGAAACTCCAACCTTAAGCTTAACTTCAACAAATCATATCTCAGAATCCATAGGATTCCAATTATGAGTCTGAGTTTATGAGGAATTTATTCTTTTACAGTAGTTTTTTCACCTGGACCCTTAATTTTAAGAATGACATCTGGATTCAATAGGAATAAATAAAATCCTATTTATGGGAATGATTATCTTCTACATTATATATGACTAAATAGATATAATGTCTTCACATTAATACATCTGCTTCTCCTTAATTTTTAGGATATGTCTTTAATAATGAGGTATATTGCAAATAACACATTTTGACCTAGTCAAATAAATATTTCATCCCACTTTATATCTGTGTCAGCAATATTCTATTTGTCTCTGGCTACTGCTGCCTATTAATAAACAACCAACAACTTTAGGATATGGAGAGAGAGAGTGGACAGATCAGGTATCAGGAATGTGCTTTAACCCAGTCTGCTTTCATATGATGGTTATGTGCCACATGACATTCACTTTTACTCAATTTTTAAGACATCTTTTTCCTGATCATATCTTCTCCTAAGTCTTTTACTGTTTTCTGTTATGACTGGTTCCCTCTCAAAGCCATTGAAAGCCAGTTGGTGTTTGGTTGTCCATTGTGGCCAATCAACATGAGCAGCATCAGAGGTCAGTGAAGACAGTATCATAGTATATTCTGCCAGTCAAGAGAGGAATACAGTAAGATAGCACACCAGTTCCAGAAATGATTTTATGTTGCCTGCTGATTTTCTTGTTGGCTTTCTTGTCACAAGCAGCAATCCTAGTATGAGAGATGTGGTGGCCTAAGAAATCTACTTTGAGGAGAAAGAATTTTGATTTTTTTGGATTGCAAGAGAGTCTGTTTTCGAAGAGTGTTCATCACCAATTTGACATGATGAACATGGTCTTCCAGCATTTTGGACCATATAATGATGTCATTCAGGTAAATGTAACAGAAGTTGCTAAGGAAATTGCAAAGAGCCATGTTCACATGATGTTGGTGTATGGGTAGGGAGTTCTTGAGGTCTTGGGGCATTACCATCCACTCATAGAGACTGAAAGGAGTATTTACAGTGGTAAACAGTATGTAAGCCTCATCCAGTTTAGTGTGGAAAAAAGCATTGGTCATATCTAATTTTGACTAATATTTCTCTTAAGCAACATCAGTCAAGATGTCATCTACTCATGGTAAGGGGTGACGATCCACTAATGTATTTGTATTCAGTTTTCAAAATTTGTTAACCCAATGAGGAAGCATGGTGCAGTCAGTTTTAGAGATCAAGAAGGCTGGAAAAGAATACAGGGATGAAGAAGGTCTTATATGACCAGCTTTTAGATGCTAATCAATTAAATCCTTCCATGCTTGTCTGTATTTATGAGGACAAGAGTATGAACATGAAGCAATTTGCTTGTTAGCATTTTTCAATTTAATAGTACATGTGACATCAGTAGGAAGTTTGTTGACATGTTTAACAGGTTTGAAAACATCACAGTATTCTTTCTTGATGTCTTCTCCCATTTTGGTAAGTTTGGACATGAATTCTAACACTTCAATATGTGAATGTATGATGGAAACAACATCTGCATTGGCC